AAGTGGTTGTGACCAGTAAGATGGAATAACGTCTTACTCCCAGATTTTAGCTAAAATATTAGTCAACCTAATCGCCGAAATTGGATCACTACCCTTGAAGACCTCTGGAGCCAATCGGTCTGGACCAGCTGCCCTTCCTCGTTTTAGATTAACTATAGCCTTTTGAACTTCAGCAAGAGTTGGGGGACCTACTTCAATGTTCCATTCACACTGTCTGGGAATGGAGGGTAGTTGTAGAGTAGCTGAAGGCCAGCTGAACTGTTCTCTGAAATGTTCCGCCCATCGTTCTAAACACCTGGACTGAGAGCAGATGAGTGTATCGTCTTTTTCCGATATAATCTCACTTACACTTGACTTATTAATTCCAGTTTCTTTTATTAGTCTGTAAAGCTGTCTTGTGTTCCCTATAGTCACCGCCTTTTCCATCTCTTTTGCTTTCGTTGCCCACCACTGCTCAGGGTCGTTTCTAATGGGTTCTAATGGGTCTTTTTACTGTGGCTTTTTTGCGTCCAGTGAGGCGCAAGCAGATGCGTGCCCGTATTAGGGCGTGGTCGGAGTCCAACCAGGTACTGCAGAATGAGCGACAATCTTTTACCGACCCTCTCCAACGATGACTGATGGCAATATGGTCTATTTGAGTCCATCGTTGGTTTGGTGCAGGCGGTCGCCACGTTAGACGATGTCTCTCCTTATGCTTAAAATTTGTGTTTGCTAAAAATAAGCGATTGTCTGAGCACAGTTGCAGCAGACGGTCACCTACCAGTCCACGTCGGCTCTCCGTTTTGCTGAGGTGAGGTCAAGTGAATGAACACACTGGAATCCTGTATGCGTGTTTCGGAGACACAGAATACATCAATGGAAAGAGACTCTAGGGTTTTAGCCAAGGAAGCCTGCTGACCGATTTGACATAGAGTGCGTACGTTGAAAGCTCCAATGTGTAGTTTGGAGCGAGGTTTCATTAGACCTGGGGCAGAGTTTTGAGCACTAGAATCGTTGGCTATGCTGACACTTGAGAAGGAAGCCGAAGGAGGAAGTTTAGGGTTGAAAGTCGATGTAGGAGGAATAATAGGAATTGAAGAGGAAGGTTAATTATGAATACAATGGTCTTGGGTGCTGTTAGAGGTATGAGGGCGGTTATCCCTTCCCGGTTGCCCACACCGTGGAAGGGTTCTTCTGGAGGTACTTGAAAAGGAAATTGGATTAGAGGCGGTCTCAGTGACCTGAGAGCGTGACCGCAGTGCCCAAGGGACAACTGCTTGAGGCCGGTCGCGCACGGCCTTTTTGTGGAAGGTTTTTGACGTGTTAGCTCCGTTCTTCAAAGGGCCTTACGCCGGAGACGGAAATCCGTGAGGTAAGGTGAGGTGCGCATTTTTAGGGTCGACCTTTTCTAACCCCACGCCTCGATGTGGGAAGGCAGCATCGCTGTTATGCTGGTTGTCCGAGGGAAACACCTTACAGCTGTCACACCTCTGTACAGTCAGCAGTACGACTTCGCCTTCGGACCTTGGGTTTGTTGCTTTCACTCTTACCGCTCTTCAACCGACCTGTCTGACATGGTAGGACCTTGAGAAACGGTTGTTCCAGCCAGTATAGCTCGGTTGCTTCATCACGATAGGCAAGCCCGACCACCACGTCAAGGTAGCAACAACGGTCGGGAATTAATTGAAAGTATTTATTCTTATTCTACCTATTATTCTTTTACTTGCACACACCATTAATTAGGATGGCGATAAATATAAACTCACGCAATTCTACTCAAAAATTGTGTAACCAACTTACGACTTTTGTTTTCATAATATATTATCTAAGTATAAAAATGTTCTATGTTGTCCTGACTACTGTTGAAATTGATTTCGACAAATTAGACCAAATAAATTCTTTCTTACAATCAAGATTATCTTATTGTTTTTATTATTACTATAGAACATGGTAACTAAATCTCTGTCAGTTTTCTCTAGTATCTATGATAAAAGTGGTCAATGTACAATATTCCTATTAGTAGGTTGAAGCTTAAAGTCAAGCCTATATTCCACAAGAAATCAATAGACTAGTTGTTACGACTAATATCCATAGAGTAATTTGAATGTTCATCATTATTATTTTACACTGATGCATTACATGTTAAATAACTTTAGTTAAAAGTTCTATATTATGATGAAATATTGATCTTATGAAAGTTGTGTTTCATTTGTTCAACTTAAGAACAGATTTTTCCCATGTACATTCAAAATTTTCCCACGCCTAGTATGAGGTATTAACTGTTATATTGGGAATAGTTAAAAATATGTTATACAATTATACTATAGAACAAGTTATTAATAAAGTACCCTTTAACTTATAAAAAGTTGTTAGTTCCATCCTTCATCTGGAACAAAAGATCTAATACAACTATGTACTGATACAAGTTACTAATCTCCATATCTATATTATTGCTAATTTGACTTAAAATGATTGAAAACCACGTAGTTCTATCACTTAGTTTTCATTTCAATTGTTGGCAGTTATTGTGAACTTAGCTTTTATTTAGGTTATCTTATGTTGGTAAATAATCTAAGAGATATTCTTCTTTTAATCATATAGATAGGCGCTTTCAACGCTACAGAACATTTTACACGAAATGAAGTTTGTTCATATTTAGCCTATATTTTATAATAATAGTAAAAATAGACTGATGAATTACAGTTGTAAACATATTGGGATGATTTAGAGAGCAACTAATATAAAGGAATTAGATTTCTCCCCATTGCAAAAGTCAGTTGGCTATTTGAACTGATTAGCTAAGTAGACAACGTGATGGTGTTTGAAGCGAATGGTTCTAATCTCGGGGTGAACATTAACTGTGGGATGCAGGTAAATCTAGTTGGTGAGTCCCAAATAGGACGTAACACGCTTTCTGGATTTCACTCCTGGTTACTATCCATCCCTGTTTAAAAATGCTTATGAATTGCTGACATTATCAAAGCAATCCTCACAGAGTGGACACTTATCAACTGTAGTTGTAAACATCAAAAAGTGACCAACGATATTACCCGCTTGTTCAATGCAATGCAGGCAAAATGAGCCTTAGTTTTAAGACTGACTAACTTTCCGGAAGTTGGACGCCTTAACTACTATGTCACTTTCATACTCATAGTTCATCCTAAAGAGAGCAAGAACAAAGATTCCTTGTTTTGAAAGTTATTCTGCCATGGATATCACTAAATCTTTATTTCCGAATTTTTATTATTTCTATTCATAATTCGTATAAATATAGCTTGTTATACGATTGTCAAGCTTCCTTGAACCAGTTGAATGGAACTCATCCGTGATTCGTGTTTATGCGGCTGCAATTCTATCTGGTACAGTCCAAATAACTCGTCAACCTTTATTGTTCTTGATAACTGTACATCATTTGAATCGATGAGTTTGTATTTATCAAAACACAAAATCCCCTATGAATGCAACATCACTTTCCTAATATCAGATGTATGGAAGATAGACATTGTTAGGAACCTACCCTTGAAAATATTATTTTTCTGCTTATTGTCAAAAGTTTGTGATAAACCTGATAATTAAGTGCGAACATGAGAGACTTAGTGATCTTGACCAACTCTGGACTCAGTCCGAACAATCAGAAAACTGTAATTATGAAAATATGATTTACAGTGCTAGGATTAGCATGGCTCAATATCGAGCACATTGGCGTCGTTGTATACATTCTTTGTCCTTCCTTAAACTATGAGATTAAAATCGCTTGATATTTTTCTTTCTATGAACTAATTCTTTCCTCGCGTACTATGTTATTATACGCACTCAGTCTTTTACATATTACCACCACTGAATTAACTACTTCTATGAGTCCGGTGTTCATCTTGCTGTGCTGATTAGGTATGGCAACTTGAAACGATGCACATATGTGCCTGGTCCTACGTTGTAGCTGACTGACTGATTAGCATTTACGCTTTACCATTTCTGCACGTGTATCTCAATCGTGTAATTAGACGCTGTGTTACTTTGAACATCTATCTTTATATCCATTGGATTGTCATATCACATACGTAATCCGACTTAGAATAAATAACGAACAGTTTTGAATATATCTTTAGACAGCCAGTCATAATCAATGTAGAATCCAAGAACGTATATACGTTTATCTAAGTTCTCACATATTAACGTTTAATTGCAAAAAAATTTAAACAATATAGCAGCTACCATTCTAAGAAAGATTAAACAATCCGGATATTATTCGAAAATACAGGTGCACAATCTTTACTTTATAGCGCACGATGAAAAAAGGAATGAATCTGTGCCTCAGTCAGTCAGTCACAACGTGGAAATTCGTACGTACGTACATCAGTTCGAGTTGCCACACCACATTAGCACAGAAATGCAGTTGTCAATTCAAATCCCGTAGTGCCAAAGTTAGTCAAAGTACAAGCAGTAATCGGAAACATTAGGATTGAAGATGTTATTCAAGAAGTATAATACAGTGAGATAAATTTGGAAAGAGAAAGAAAGTAACATGAAGAATTCAGAAGATTAGAATTTGGGAGAACACAAAGAGTGGATGCACCTGTGCCATTGCAAACGATTTTGAGCCATGTCATTCAGGGTCTCTAGCCATCGGTTGCCAACATCTCGCGGTCCCCAACCAGGTAGTCTACACCCACCAATATGAGACTGTTCCACTGTGACTCATTATAACACATGTCACCACTCAACGTTTAACTTTATAATCTAATTACTGTAAAGGATTGAATTTTATCAAAAGAGAGTTACATAAATAAGTGATACTAACCTAACTCAGTTTTATTATTCTTTTATTCTTTAACTATCTGATTTCTTCATTCCAGCTATTTATACAATAAAGATAATCGGGATAGTGGATTTACTCAACAATTTGTACGTTTATGTAATTTATTACCTCAAATGACAAATGTCAAACCAACATCATCATCGTCGTTGCCGTTGTCGTCGTCTATGCAAGCAATCGTTAATAAGACTGATATTCTAAATTTACTATGATTTTTAAACAAACTAATAAACAATGGTCACAACAAACGAAATCCATCGAATTGAATACAAATTTACATGTTGGTCTACATGATTCATTAGTTCATTTAATTCATAATAATGATTATGCCGACATAACTAGTGCAACAACATTTAATGAAGCTATTTTCAAAGCATCTATTGAATGGTACAATAGTGATACACTAACTAAGCATCGTCAACTTTATTGGATTGAATTATTTGAAAGAGTATGAGGAAGGCAGTAAAGGAGAATCAATTTAATGGAGAAAATAAAGTTTAACTAAAATCATACATCTAAAGATACTACTTATTTACTTATTATCAAATGAACATACTATGATATTTACAAACATGTAAATAACATTTAATGCTGTATTCTATTTATCATAGTTCTTGTTTCTATAAAAAGATTATGAAAAGATTCATTCTCTTATTTGATGATGTTTCAGTCATTTCACTAGCTAAGCGTACAATTACAATTGTGTTCAAACAATGAAGGCACAAGTAGTTTATTACACTGAACTAAGTATTTTTCACTGGTAATAAACAAGTCACTTGGTGATGGAAAAGATCTCCAGTATTAATGGATGTTTCACATATATAAATGTGATACGATGAAATTATCTTATGAATAAAAGAAAACTGGTTTGTAGAATTCTAAATGTAGCAGAATATTTTAGGGACTATCTGTGCTTTGTGTAGTAACCAAGGTCATAATATATATCTAGTTTTCAAGTAATGATCGATCAAGTTGAAATTTAGCCATTTGTCTTTACTGACTTATGTTGTGTGTACTGTGTTTTTGCGTATCGATTGCTTAGAGTTATCCGGCAAGTGTTGATTTGTAGGGCTGGCCTTTTTCTCATTGTTTGGATTGATCAGCAAGACGTATGTGTAATTTTAAGGGAACTGATGTCGACTAGAAGCTTAAAAATAATGATAATATGTGTAAGGAATCAGAAGCGCTTTTGATCAAAGTTGAGAAGGAATGATAAAAGGTAAGTCTCACGATCCTTCATATACTGACCATATGAATATTCTACAAACGAAAACTGGCGAGTGAATAGCGACAGGTTCATAAAGTGGAAAGGTAGTGTTATAGTTAGGCTTGTAGAGGCAAATTTCCTCCATATCTGACTCCAATTGCTAGTATCCCGTTAACTGAATATTTAGTGAAGGTAAATCTCCTAGTAGAATTATGGATTTACTCGAGATTATTCAAAAGCTTGAACACCAGTTATCGAGATAGTTTATTGTTAAAGATTGGTAAAATCCGCAAGCGTACAGGAAGCAAGCACACAGGGTGAACAAGAGTGTATATGTGTTACAATCCCGTATATACTTACGAGTGTTAATCAAGTATGGATAAATTATTGATTGTCTGTGTATTTCAATCAATGGGAGAATGAATTAAAAATTGATATGTGCACAATCATACACAGAAAATTACTTAGTGGATTTAATGTCTAAATTACAGTGAGAAGGTAAATAATACAGCAGTTGATTGGGCTTACTACAAGCTGAACACTGAGATAATTAGTAATCGGTCAAGAGATGGCTTTCATTTCCAAGGGATTAAAAATTCACCACTGATAGATTTAAGTTCTGAAGGGATATTTATATCTAAGTGAGTACATACTCGGCGAGACTCGAATTTATGGAAGACCACTGAACGAATCTGAAGTGACTTTGAGAAATATTATCCAATCAGCAAACAGTTATTATAGAGTAAAAATATGTTATACAAAATCAAGGAAATAAAGTGGATACATTTCAAAACTTATCAAGGTTGGGAAGTGGTTCTAAAATCGTAATGCATGCAGTAGAGGAAATCGTCCATATGGCTACAGAACAGTCGGCCTCTGGAGCCATGATAAAGTCTCGAAAACTCTTTCAGCCTCAACCACATATTGTTTATGTGCACCTCGGTTGTTGAGTACACAAAATGCTACTTGTGGATAACGACACGATGAACATAACCAAGCCTATGTAGGAGTCTGTACACTCTCCAAACATCCGGATATATTGTAGTACCTGGCTGCAGACAGTGTTACTGGTGCTTTTATTATCCAGTTCGCAATAATTGTCGTAATTCGCCGTAGTGAGGAATTATATATGGGGTTTTCATCACTAACTGACATCAGCTATAATGCCAGAAATTCATTTAGCCAAATGGAAGACAGGCTTTCGCGTTAACATCCTAGATCTATTATCTTATACCTGATTGATTCGTCCACAAATTATAGTCCCGCCGTTTTATTTGTTATAGCCGCTCAATTATCATGTTTTGTACAAAATTCCCTGTGAACCGACCGTACGTTAGCACAAAGCACTAAAGTTTGCGCCGTCAACTTGAAATCTCTAACAGGCATCTGATTGGCTCGTCTGTGAATTAGAGTCTCGCCACATACATATTTACTCAAATAAACTTAGTTTCCTACCTTCCGTCCTTCCTCCTAAGTAGTCGAGATCATATACAAAAGTGTGTCAGCATCAAACGGTGTGACAGTAGGCTTCACAACATGCACTAACTGCTTAGAAAGATATATGATACGAATAGGCTAAACAAACGGGTTTTCTAAGCTGTCCAGTCGCTGATCATTTTGGATGTAATGGTATCATTTCAAGAGAAACTGTGAGAAAATGACTTCAAATGTTGTTATACTTTGCTGAAACTAAATTTATTCATTCGATAAGATACTGGACAGTTGTCGATATTACTTTGGTCCGGTTACCTCAGTTTTTAATACGCATGCTTTCAGTTATATTAACCTCTTTCCCCGTGTTTCATTATTATCTGACCTCCATTTATCCAAACAGTCTATTTTCATTGTAGTTCATATTCCTCAATATAAACCTGTTCCCATGACATTCTGTTTTTTTCTTTAAAATTCATATAACTAATCTGTCAATACTCAACCATATAAACTACTTCATGTCCTCTGATATAAACTATATACAAGTAACCGCTAAGCTACTAGTATTTGACCACAGATGCCTTAGACATATTGCTCACATCTGCTGAGATCACCGGGTAAGTATCTTTCTTTCTACGAACAAATTCTTTCTTCCCGTACTATGTCATTATACGCACTCTTCCTCTTATATATTACCACTATTAACATAACCACTACTATGAATCCGGTGTTCATCTTGCTGTGCTAATGTGATATGGCAACCTGGAACGATGCATCTATGTGTATGGTCCTACGTTGTAGCTAACTGACTGACTAAATCCCTAATATATTTTGAAAACTATCGTTTCTAGGTTATAAGCAAAATTCTTCTCAGCGAATGAAATCAAAATAATTTCAATGTTTCATCCAGAAAACTTATCTGAACTTCTTCAGTGTAATACAATAAAAAATTATCACAGAAAATTGTTTTCTCTATAGTCGCAGCCTAATTTCTGGCAAACCATTCGTTCAAATATCAACGGATATTTGTATAAATTGTCTAGATCCTTAATACAACTGGATACATCTATCTCCATTCAATAGCCAATTGATCTTCCTATTTCTTTTTATCTGACATATTTAAATCAACAAGACGAATAATTTCTGTTCTATGATTTATTTATAATTCGCAACCCGTAAATAATATCTACAAAATGTTCAAGTTTTACAAGTAGAGACCCGTTCTTAAACGGAGCCACAAGAAACGTGAGAAACAAGTAAAAATTGATAATTATAATTTATTATTATTATAGTAAAGAGAAAAGATCTGTACAAAGGAAATCAAATCATTGTGTATTTCTGAAGAAAGATATGAGGATGATTATGAAGAGGATTTAGATGGTGATGTTGATTAAGAAGATGATGATTTAGATGATGATGTTTTAGATGATGGTGATGATGAATTAAATGGTGATGATGATGATGTTTTAGATGATTATGATGTTTTAGATGATGGTGATGATGATTTAGATGGTGATGATGATGATGCTGATGAATATGATGACGATGATGATGATGATGATTTAGATGGTGATGATGATGATTATGATGATGACGATGATGATGATGACGTTGATGACGAAGATGATGATGGTGATGATGATTTAGATGGTGATGATGATGATGCTGATGAATATGATGATGATGGTGATGATGATCATGATTATGATGATGATTTAGATGGTGATGATGACGATGATGATGATCATGATTATTATGATGATGATGATTTAGATGGTGATGATGACGATGATGATGATGATTATGATGATGACGATGATGATGATGATTTAGATGATGATGGTGATGATGATTTAGATGATGGTGCTGATGATGATTTAGATGTTTGAGATGTTGATGATGACCCATGCTACCACACTTAAGTAAGAAAATTCATTTATAAGATGAGAGAGAGAATGAAATGGAAATAATATCAACTAAGACATACAGCTGATCATGGAAAAATATACTTACCGTGAAACAAATTTATACATTCGTCTACGGATGATAATAAGTGAAGCTACACATTTGTAGATGGGGATTATACTTGAAAAGGTCAACTATACAAGTGAATTGATGCGTTCACATTTACACAGGATGATGAAATACATTGAAGCCGAAGATAACTATTTCTCAGTGAGCCTTAGAAGATATGCATCTCAACTCTAAAGCTTTTCAGTAACTGATCTTTAGAAACAAATCACGGTCTGAATTAAAACCTTTCCCATTACTTACTCGATAGCCACCAGTCCCCGAAACGTTGAAACCATGAGCTTCGTTGACATATGATTCATTTGACTGTTTGTTAGCCTTGGCGGCTTGGAATTCTCTTAGCTATTAAAAATGATGTATAGGAAAGAATGTGATGTATGGCGAAAAATCACTTCATAATATTAGTATATGTGTAGTTCATCTACCACGTAAAACTGAGAAGATGATGTCAAGTTGAAATTGTAATTGTAATTGATATCTTGTCTGTACCTGTACCCACTCGTCAACGGTGCTGGGAGAAGCAACAACCGTTGCGTCAAACCTAGTGTTGGATTCTGGAGGATTGTCGACGACCTGAGAGGTCAGGTTATGTTTACCGCTTGAAACCGATCGAGCCTTGCGATTGCGGCTTCTAGGCGTTTCCTGTGGGATCCCATCTGGGAGACGGGGAACAGAAGAACCCACTTTCCTTGAGCTTTTGTTTAAGGCAGGCCCCTTTGGAGACTGCTTTTCCTTCTTTGACCGGCGTGAGTCATCTACTAGCGAACCAACCTTAGTTTGCTTCATGTCGATTTGTGTGTCGACAGATCGAGTGCTGTTTGACGTGTTCTGACTACGCTCGCAAAAAAACACATCTTTGCAGCATCAACCAGTGAGATGGCCTCGGTTAACAGGCTGTTTGCATCTGAACAGCACTGTTGACAAAGCCATGCGCAACCCTTCTTACTGAACTGTTTGAAAGCCGCAGGCGTTAAGTTCGTGCAAACTTCGCGGTAACAGCTTTTGCACTAGTCGCACTGCATGCCGCTTTCAAGGGGATAGCGACAACCCCGAACGTTGACAATTGCATTTTTACACTGTTCGGTCATTAAAATGGAGTCCTTTTCAAAAAGGAACGAGATGTGATGATACTCAGAAACAAAAAAATAATCAATGACCAAAAAGTGAAGAACTGTAGATTATTAGGACCAAAAGTACTAAAATATACAGTTGAAAAAGAGGTACTCAAGAGTACCAACTACAAAACTAATTAAGAGAACGGTGAAACGGTACTGCAGTCGAATACTTTAACTGAAACGAATTCAACTAAAGTGAGAACAGTAGTCTTGATACGTAATAAACGATCAAAACAATGAAATTTACTCAGCGGGGAAAAATACCACTGTCCTTCATAAATAGCGCGCGTAAGATATTATAGATTAGGCAGTTATAACATGACAAATCTACAATTTTAGGATTAGGTCTATTATTAGAGCAGTACTAATATGATAGCAGATCATAATTCTACATTGGTTAGCCCAACTAAATAAGCGCAACTATTTATTGCTATTTCTTAGATCTACCTTAACTTTCTCAATCGATTTTTATTTATGTAAACCCATTATTCTAATAGTCCTCTGATTAATGCTCACATGTATTATCGTAATGTTATATTGATTAGTTCTCATTAACATACTAGCTCAATTGATAGTAAAAACTGGTCGTCAATAATAACTAATTAGCTTTGATGGTTCGTTAACAAGCTTTAATAGTATTTACATGCTTCAGCGACATAGACTTGTTTAAACATCAAGCTCTAGCAAACATGACCTGTAAATAACGTAAATATACATTGACTAACAATGCAATCAAGGACTAAATAGTTATCTGGACCTAATTCTTAGTGTTTTAAACTATGCACTATCCTGTAATATCTTCTCTTCCGACCACTGCCTGCTTAATTTCATATTTTCGAGTTCCGTTGCCAGACAACAAGGATGACACCACTACAAAAACATACGGTTAGTTTCAGCTATAAGTTTTCTGCAATCATGAGGTCATTTTGGATGGTTTGTCAATGACAACCACACAATTATCTGGATTCATTCAATTGTTCTGATCCGAGCGAGTGGCAAAAACGTCAACAGCATCAAGCACCCTGGAATTAATTGCCATACTGCATGTCTTGGTCTGGATACTTTTGGATCATCACTACTCCTCACGAATGGCGTTATATATGTCGTCCACTGAATAATCTAATTTTCAAAAATAACCCAGGCGAGTTCAACTACTTTACTCAATGATTTTTTGTACTTAACATGTATATGTTTTTGAGTTGCTTTTGCCATATATTTGTAAGTGTCCTTAGGCTAAATACAGTAACTTCTTATGGAATGTTTATAGCGCGTCATATTCCTGCCTGAAGTTTCACAAGCAGTCTTAGCTTTAAAATGATCTTTCTGGTCATGTTCATTATTTTTAAATTGTCATATACGTCAACAACCTGCTTGTTAACCTGGCCCGTACATACGTTGCACTATATCTTCATGTCTTCCAAATTTAGAAATCATCTGAATCGCCTTTAACATTTATCAATAAACCCATCATAGTCGTTGTTGTTAATCGTATTTGGGTTTATGGATTGGTTTATCATATTATTAGCCTAAAATGCAGACATAGTTTAGAAAATAAGATTGAAAATTAAGGTACTATCAACTGCACTAGTCAAATAACTAAATCCTAAAGTAGCTGTTGGCTAAACAAACGTTTAAAATCAAAACTCCGTAGCCTACTAGAATTAACACTAAACGAATATTTCTGAATTGAAATTTATAATTAAATTAGGTGTCTCGGATTTTTTAACGTTATAAATTTCTGATAATTTCGAATCACCTAAAGCAACAATACTTATTTTTCCACTGACTAATCCTCAATCAACACTATAACTAGTTAAACGTAATAGTTTCAGGATATCGTCATAAAGCATTGCCATAACTTGACAATCACGTAATATGATTGGTAAAATTCATGAAACTATTAACAAAATCGGTCAGCAAATTGACTTATAATTATCACTAGTGTTGTTTTCTTCTATCTTCATTCACTACAGATGATTACAGTATGTTTCTCTATCAGTTGCTCATTCAGTAAATATCTCAAAACCTTGTCAGTCTAATTGATGGTTTAGTGACACAATCATTCACGCAAATAATCAGTATAAGCTGTCGAGCAAATCTCCTGCAAACTGAGAACATCAATGTCTGATTTACCCCAACACTGACTAAGGTCCAAGCCTTTACCCTAGACATGAGTTGGGAGTGTACTCCCCTTGGTTACAACTTATGTCCTCCCTGATAATCACATGAGCATCACTCACGGTTAATTATCTTGTAAAAACTTATTTAGCCAAATACATCTTGCAGCACATCACCTAGTAATGTGACATATAGACTTAACTGATTTCAATAACTTATAATCACTATATCTCAATTGAATCGTATTCCGCCTCATGATAAACTGCATACTTGCAACTAACTTGTATGCCCAATCAGCCGGCAAGTATAAATATAAATAAATAGTCTATCGCAGATCATAACATTGAGTCTAGAGCATGTCTCTTACGAATACACTCATGTTTGAGGTTGAGAAAATCTCCGTGTAACTAAATAAACCGTATCAAACTAACTGGAACACTAGTTGGAATTCTTCTTCACGGTAATACTTTTGTTCTTTCAGTTAGCCTACTAATACAGATGCAATTGGAAATCACATATGGACAGGTTACCGACATAATTGTAGATTGATTTCATAATTTAAACCGAAACTTACACCAATATCAACGTTTCTACAATATTAATTTCTAAACACAAAATACTTACTATCTATACGTTAAGTTATTAACCAATGGCTATTAACACGCATCGTTTTATTATTATTATTATTATTATTATTATTATTGTAATCCCATTTTTTATAGCTCAAATAATCTTTACCCAAATTTTCATTTCAAGTATGTTAAGCATGAAAGCAGATATTTTAAGATTATTACATGTATTTCTCGACCAGATGCTGTCGCCTTCTTTTTGATTTATCTCTCAGCTTATCAATATCCGGAGGATTCTACCAATTCTTGGTAACCTCCGGCGCGCGACCATCTCATCCAACTTGGTATCGAACCAACACCACGTTGGTTCTGGTGGGAGAGTAGTGTAGTGACATTGGACAATAACCACACAATCTTCAAAGCTGAATACGAGATTACTCGGAAAATAGATACTCAATATTTAACGCGGAGAAATACCTAACGATGGAGAAGGTGTGAACAATGAATTGAATGAATTGGAGTTGATCGAATGGCATTGCTCGGCCATGCAAACGTGGACCCTGCTGAATGTTACCTTATATCTTCTATCCATATTAAACATATTGTCCCATCTCTAGCCTAACCTTGTTCAACATCATGTATTGGTAATTGATAAGATACAGTGTGTTGTTGTAGTCGATGATGTGACTTCCACGTAAGATCTTATAGATTAGGCAGTTATATCATGACAAGTCTATAATTTTAGGATTAGGTCTATTATTAGAGCAGTACTAATATTATAGTAGATCATAATTCTATATGCTCTTCAGAAGAATGATGATTACTATCATAATATACATCCTGAACGCAAGCATCTGACTCTGACGAACTGCGTTTACGTCCATATATGGAGACATATCTCACGAAAAGGTACTTTAGATTTGGATCATCACTGTTGTTCTTGCATTTGTACATAACTTACTTAGTATGCGTATACTAAAAAAATAATCATTAACCACAGAAGTCATATTACCTTATGTACTTCTTTCGAACAGGTCTCAAAATTGTTCCAACTTG